ATATACATATACTATATATATATATATATATATATATATAGATATATAGAGAGAGAGAGAGAGAGAGAGAGAGAGAGAGAGAGAGAGTGTACAGAGGCAGCAGCTGCGTTTGTCTATAGCCCTACGCAATGGACAAAATTCTTCTTGATTAGAGGGGGGCCCCATTAGCTTCGTGTCCAACTCACCGCAATTAGGGCATCATAAACTCACCTCTCCATTTCTTCTTATTTATTATTTTCTCCTCGTACGGAATTCCCCCCACCCTTTTTATTTTCTTTACTTCGATTCTCTCCCACGGTTAAAAATTAATATTAATAATAATCAAACTTTTCTTACCTTTTTCAATTAATTCTCTCTCTCTCTCTCTCTCTCTCTCTCTCTCTTCGTGTGGCGAGTATGGTGGATCTTAAGATTTGGAGGTTTTTGTGGTGTGTTTGCAGATTTATGGGGCAAGAATCAGAAGAAACCCTAATTCTGAGGGGGTGACTGTGTAATTTTCTAGCCCTAATATTCTTTCTTCGTGCTGTGCACGTGACTGTGTGTGTATTCTGGGTTTTGGAGGTATACTGTTTTTTTTTTATGAGGAATTTATGTTCTTGATTTCTTTAACTGTGTGTGAAGTTTGGTGAAATGAAGAAGATGCTGCCGGTGGAAACTATATATGGTAAGTACATTTAAAAAATAAAAAATAAAAGTTTATTTATTAAATCTTTTTTATTAACATAATTTGGGAAACAAAATAGATCAGTTAAAGAAATTAAGAAGATACATCTCTCTGTTTATGGAAGAAGAAACCCTAACACACTAACACTTTGGATATATATACTCTCTCTCTCTCTCTCTCTCTCTCTCTCTCTCTCTCGATCTTATTGTTCTTACATTTTCCTTAACTTTGGAGTTTATGAAAAATATCCTGGGAATTATTCAATGTAAAAAGCTGTAATTTATGTGATTTGTGTGAAATTATTTGTGTTTTATTTATTTATTTATTTATCAAGTAACAGTATCAGATAAATCATGATTTTATTGTCCCCGGTAA